TAGTCCAGGAACATCTGGGGACCCAAGGTTGGCAGCCACTGTTGTACGGGCTGCACAGATCCTCAGAATTGTGGAAAAAGAGGAATGTTTGCTTGCTTGCTTGGGAGAAATTATTTGGGGATTAGGAGAACCATATGTGACCCCAAGGTTGCACTTTGTCTATCTGTGCTCTGTACAGTGCCCTATTTCCAATCCCAACTAATGTAGACCCAGTGGATGCATGGGATTTAAATAAGTGCCAACTTGTTATTCAGCACTTGACTCGGTGGGTCTGCTCTCTAGTTGAGAATGGCAAATCAGGAAAAAAGAATACAAACTCTTGTTCACATTCCCCATGCAGACCAAATTGAAGCCCTTATTTTTTTCAGGAATACCTTTAGTGTCTTGTTCCTAATATTGTTTCCTCGCACCTATTCAAGCAGGTTCTGTGCTTTGCACAGTCCTATCTCCACACAGGATGTCATATGTATCTGAGCCCAAAAACACAAGGTCTCTACATTTCAGTCTTTTTTCCATAGAAGACTACTCTAGAGTGTCACTCTTTCTTTTCAGAGTTTCTCCCTCCATGTTTGTTTTTATTTTCACTCAGCCTCTAGGCAGGGTGTAGAGGCTCTTGAGTTGTTATGAAATATCTTTTTCCCCCTTCTCTGCCTTCTCTCCCTTTGGTCTACCCACCAGTAACATGCAGTATTCCTGGAAAGAGAAAGAATGTGAAATGGAGGAAGAAAGCCTTGCCTTTGCCTCTTGGAATTAGAAGACACAGTCTGTCCATCCAAAATCCCACTGCTGGATTTTCTGGCAACCTGATTTATTTGCTGTAATTAATGCAGCATTTTTCTGGACAATTGTCTTGCTCACCAGCATCAAAGACTTTATTAGTCCTGTAATGTTGGTGTGTGAATTTTATTGGTATAATGCTTACTTATAAAAGCTTATGCAGGGTTGGGAGGATCCACTTAGTTGGTGAATAACTTGAAGTTCTCATGGTGACAGAAATCCTGTTGCTTGGCATAGTACATTGTAACTAGAGTAGGCCCACTAAATCAGTGAAACTTAAGAAGCAGTGACTAACTAAATCTCTACTAATCCAGTATGCCTGCTCTAGTTGTGACTTATTGTGTTGAGCAACAAAATTTCAGACAGCATGTCTTCTGTACCATAATTTATAATACAGTACTGATTTAAACTTTGAAATAATAAAAAACAATTGATCAGGGGATGGAGCATATTACATTTTGGTTAAGCAGCCATTTCTGGTAATGTTAGTTTAATCATTCGGTATAGGAAAATTATGGACTCTATTTGCTTCTTTTCATTGGACTTGCATATCTTCTGTGTAAGAACTTTTTTAGCTGAAACTTAACATATATTTACATTTAGCTCTGCTTTGCTTACAGAGGGATAGAGCCACAGGTTCATCTTTCTCATATTGAGTTTTCAATAGGGGTCAATCAGATGCCTATAGAATTCCCCACAGCTTGTTTAATCTCAGCTTGGATGTTTCATTTAGGAAATGTAGTTAATAAACCATTAATAGATATAATCCCCATGTCTAATCTTCTTTTAAACTCCTCATATGTCAGATTCCATAAATTATGTGTTTTATATAAAGCACAGTGGTGCCTCGCAAGACAGTGTTAATTCGTTCCGAGAAAAATGCTGTCTTGCGAAAACATAGTCTTGCGAAAGGCGGTTCCCCATTGGAATGCATTGAAATCCATTTAATGCATTTCAATGGAAAAATCATTGTCTTGCGAAAATCATCCATAGAAAACATTGTCTTGTGAAATGCAGTTCCCCATTGGAATACATTGAAATCTATTTAATGTGTTCCAATGGGGAAAAATTGTTGTCTTGTGAAAATCGTCCATAGGAAACCATTGTCTTGCGAAGTGCAACAGTGATCGCAAAAACTAATCGTCTTGTGGATTAATCGTCCCACGAGGCAATAGTCTTGTGAGGCACCACTGTACATTCTGAATTGATTGGCAGTCAGTTTTATTGGATGACCTGAGTTCTAGTGAGAGGGAAAGGGAGAGGGAAATAGCTCTCCATATAATTCACAATTCTTTGAAATACTAATCAGTTTCCCAATCAGTGACCTTTTTCCTATGGTAGAAAGCTACAAACATCTTAACTTTATTGCTTAGGAAATGTGCATCAATCCCTGGCCCTTTGTACTTTTCTACATTAGAGCTAAAATCTTTTAATTCATTTTGTGATGGTTCAGCCAGAGCAATACAGTGGGGTCTTGACTTGAGAACTTAATCCGTATTGGAAGGCGGTTCTCAAGTCAAAAAGTATGTAGGGCAAGTCTCCATTGACCTACAGTGCATTGAAAACCGATTAATCCCGTAACAGGCCATTTTTGTTCCATTTTGGTTTTTTTCTGGTCTGTAAGTCAATTCTCAGGCTGCAAGTCAAACCTAAATTTTACGGCCAGAGAAGTCTGTAACTCAAAAAGTCTGTAAATCAAGCCATCTGTAAGTCAAGGGTCCACTGTATACAATATTCCTAAATGTGGCTGCATCACAGATGTATATAAAATGTTGTAGTATTGGCTGTTTATTATTAATACTGACCCTCAGTAATTTCGAGCATGGAATTTCCCTTTTTACCACTACATTGAACTGATATGGTAAAAGCACTACAACCTGTCCTCATGAAATATGACTTTTCTGAGACACAGTACTATATGTAAGAAAATAAGAGGTTTTGTTCAAATGCATTCCACTCTACATCTCCACTGAACATTATTTTCGATTTGTAGCCCTAGTATCTTGTAATTTATAGCTACTTGGGTATACTTTTTTGTGTGTCATTGGAAGATCCTTTCATTTTGACTCCAAATCAAAGTGTCTCAAACCCAGTAGCTACATGAGGGGAAAGCTTCCATTGTGACAGCTGTTTACTCCTGTGCTCAACATTTTATTTACTAGAGTATCCATATCTGCATGCTTGTTGACATGCTTGAATTTGGTGAGACAAAATTGCATGTTGCAAAACCATGTTGATTTTTTTCCTCACCAAATTCACATCTTTTTCCTTTTGAATCCTTTGTTCTGTACCATTCCAGTCATTTTTTTCATGACTTAGCAATTCATTTGGACCAAGATTAATGAGAACAGTTATCAAAATCTCATGAAAAGCTTGATAAGAGCTCACTGTATTAATGTGAATCTTTCTTCATATACAATATTATATTATAACCAGTGATGAAATGGGAAATGCAGAAATTTGTATGGAAGAAATTAGAGGGAGAGGATAAGCTCATTGGGTTTTCACAATCTTATTGCCATGTTTGAAACATTTGCCCCAGATATCTGGAAGCCAGAGTACTGTCTCCTCCACCTCCTCCTCCTCCTCTTCTTGAGATTGATTACTGTATACTGGGGCTTTTCTCTGCAGTTTAATCCAATGTGACAGTCTTACAATGAAACACTACATAGTAAATACAGCATATCGAAGGGGCAGAGGAACTAGAGACCAAAATGCTAACATGCGCTGGATTATGGAGAAAGCCAGAGAGTTCCAGAAAAACATCTACTTCTGCTTCATTGACTACACAAAAGCCTTTCACTGTGTCAACCATAACAAACTATTGCAAATTCTTAAAGAAATGGGAGTGCCTGACCACCTTGTGTATCTCCTGAGAAATCTATATTTGGGACAGGAAGCAACAGTTAGAACTGGATATGGAACAACTGATTGGTTCAAAATTGGGGAAGGAGTACGACAAGTCTGTATATTGTCTCCCTGCTTATTTAACTTATATGCAGAATACATTATGCGAAAGGCAGGACTGGATGAATCCCAAGCCAGAATTAAGTTTGCCAGGAGAAATATCAACAATCTCAGATATGCAGATGATACTACTCTGATAGCAGAAAGTGAGGAGGAATTAAATAACCTCTTAATGAGGGTGAAAGAGAAGAGCACAAAAAATGGTCTGAAGCTCAACATCAACAAAACCAAGATCATGATCACTGGCCCCATCACCTCCTGGCAAATAGAAGGGGAAGATGTGGAGACAGTGACAGATTTTACTTCTTTGGCTCCATGGTCACTGCAGATGGTGACAGCAGCCATGAAATTAAGAGACCTGCTTCTTGGGAGGAAAGTGATCACAAACCTTGACAGCATCTTAAAAAGTGTGACGTCACCTTCCTGACAAAGGTCCACATAGTAAAAGCTATAGTTTTTCCAGTAGCGATGTATGGAAGTGAGAGCTGGACCATAAAGAAGGCTGACCGCTGAAGAATTGATGCTTTTGAACTGTGGTGCTGGAGAGGTTTCTTGAGGAGTCCCCTGGACTGCCAGGAGAACAAACCTATCCATTTTGAAGGAAATCAACCCTGAGTGCTCACTGGAAGTACAGGTCCTAAAGCTGAAGCTCCAATACTTTGGCCATCTCATGAGAAGAGAAGACTTCCTGGAAAAGACCCTGATGTTGAGAAAGTGTGAAGGCAAGAGCAGAAGGGGACAACAGAAGATGAGATGGTTGGACGGTGTCATCAAAGCTACCATCATGAATTTGACCCAACTCCGGGAAGCAGTGGAAGACAGGAGGGCCTGGTGTGCTTTGGTCCATGGGGTCATGAAGAGTCGGACACGACTTTACTACTAAACAACAACAACATTTTATACCAGTTGAAATTTTGGACCTTCAGAGGGAACCCTGTATAGGGTAATCCGATCTGGGTGTAAGCGGTGTGTGCATAGCAGGTTTCGTAAGTTTGCATACAGATACAAAGCAAACTCATAAATGTATCTTAAAGGTTATGTAGTTTGAAAGATACGGCTTTACTATGGGGCGGTCAAGAAGATCTAGAAGTGGAACTGGATTATATAAAAGAGTGGGTTTTCTCTTTTTGCAAACTAGTTAAATTTATTTTAATACCACATTCTTACATCTTAACTAAAACCTGAAATTGACTAGTTATAAACATTTTTTTAAAAATAGAAAGTATTTTCATAATGTATTTCTTCTTTCATTACAGACTGAAAATGCTGCTGATGAACCTAGAGTGCTTTGTATAATACAAGATACTACTAATGCTAAAACGGTGAATGAGCGCATCACGTTGAACTTGCCAGCTTCCACTCCTGTAAAAAGATTGTTCGAGGATGTGGCCACTAAAGTGGGCTATGTTAATGGAACATTTGATTTAATTTGGGCCAATGGCATCAACGTGGCAGATACGGTAAAAACAGTTATTTCACTTAATGGAAATGATTAGATCATCTATGCATCTATATCTAGAGTACAGATGATCAGCCTATATCTGTGCATTATTTCTCAAAACTCCTGTGCTAGTTATTATCTCAGGAGACAGCAGTCTGTCCTGATAAAATTTGGTCAGGGAGTACAGAGTGATAGAAAAGAAACAAAGCACTTAAAAAGTGCTTCACTCTTGTTTTATAGTGTGTGAGGCTGATTGAAAATATTTTGTCAGTTTCTTTCTAAAATCTAACTAGAAATTTGAAGGTAATCGGTTGTATACTAGGAATATTAGGACATAAATAGAATCAAAAGCCAGATAGAAATTTTTTAGTCAGCTGATAGAGTGGACTAGAGATATTATATTTAAGAAATGTATATTCTGCTTTTGCTAAGATTAAAACAATTCACTTGAAAATAGAATCACATTTAAAATATAAAACAGTAAATTGGAGCTGATACAGTAGTATGAATTATGTGGCATTCTTCTCAGGGCACTCAGATATTACATTTGTTTCTGTGATTTACAGCCAGTGCAATGTTTCTGGTTTCTGTAGATGTTGGATTTGATTTTCTTGTATTTGATCCATAGATTGTTGTTTTGTTATATAGGCTACAGACCAGCTTTTCTAGACCTGATACCCTCTAGATGGCAAAGGCCAGAGTTGATCCTAGATAGTGTCTTCCCAACATTCCTGACCATTGGCTTTGCTTGATGAGGCTGATTTGAGTAGAATTCCAAATGCCTGGAGGGTACCAACTTAAGGAAAGCTGATGTAAATTGAAATATAAAAAATTAATTAAATAGTTATTACAGATGGAGTAGTAAGCAGGCAGATTCTGTAATGTAAAAAGCTTGTGTGATTCTTTGACTTGTTTGGAGATCAAGATTTTCTATGAAGAAAATTTGGCTGAAATCTTATTGCTGTAACTTGTGCTACTTAAGATTGTTGATGTCATTAGCAGTGGAAGTCTTTCAGAAATTAAACATTTCTCTTGCCTGGCTAGAGGCTCTCAGTTAATCCTTTTAATTGATCTACAAAAACAATGGAATAGGGATTTATGCTTTACTTTCTCCACTGGGGTGACTTCACTGGTCATTTTCAGTAATTAAATATTTCCCCCTCCCATCTCATGGCTTCCACAGGTTCCCAAAGGTGAAAGGGCTTACCAGGGAATCTTGGGAGCTTCAGGAGATAAATTTTCAAGTTTAATTTCTGAGTAATCTCCACTGTTGATGATGTAACCAACTTTGTGTTGCATATGATACAGAAATAGGATTTCAGCCAGCATGTTTTTATACTTTTTCGCTAGTGGTAACTGAGGCAAAAGCATGATGATATATCAAATGAGTCAGTGCAAAACAAGCAAACAAACAAAAATGCACCTGCTCTCCTGTTGTTGAAATTCTGAAAACAGACATCACCTGATTTTATCTGATAAACTATATCTTTATTCTGATTTTTATAGACACCATTGGATCAGTCTAGTGATAAATCTGTGGTTGATGCTGGTTTTGAGTCTGGGAAGAAGAATTTTCTGCATCTAACAGATAAAGACGGAGAACAACCTCAGATAGCCTTGGTGAGAGAAAATGAAATGGTTTATAGTAACCAGTGTTACAAATTTGCTTCTGTGTATAACACTTGCATGGAAGCTTTTGTTTATTACACTTTTATTTTCATGGTACCAATACTGTACTTCCAATTGCCACACTTAGTTTCTTTGTATCTTGTTGAAGAGTATTGTGTAATTATGAGATTAAATTGATTATATAAATAGGCGTGTTTTCATAATGATAGTTTATTTATATCTGTGGCTATTGCATTCTGAGAATTCTAGAACAATGGTAAACTTTTTTCCAGGGGATTTGAAAAAACAAAATAAAGGGAATTATGGCTGTTAATTTGTTGAGACACAGATACAGTGGCATTTGATGGTGTTGATGTCTTAATGTGCATGCTAGAATTTGTTTTTTGGGGGTGGAGAATAAAAGTACTACAGTCCTTCCTCCTGTAGCTCCCTGCATTGATCTTTCCATGCCATGCAGACCAAATCATCAGGGTGGTTGTTGAAGTGAACAGTTGTGCTGCCTGAAAAATATGCAGTCCCCCCCCCCGCCCTAAGAAGAAGTAATTAGGCAAGGGTGAGGAAAAAAGGCTCTGTTCTTCAAGGGCATGCATAAACTTCACGGTTAACATCCAAGCTGTCCCCAGTGTATGAATCATCTCCTGTATCTCACAAAAGGCTAATAAACTTGATACAACGGTGCCCCGCATAGCGACGATAATCCGTTCCAAAAAAATCGTCGCTATCCGGATTCGTCACTATGCGGGGGAAAAAACATAGGAACGCATTAAAACATGTTTAATGCATTCCTATGGGGGAAAAACTCACCGCTATGCGGAAATTCTCCATCCGGCCGCCATTTTTGCTGCCCAGTAAGTGAGGAAAGGGCACAAAAACACTGCGGGTGACCATTTTCTTCACCCGGCGGCCATTTTGGAGCTGCCGATCAGCTGTTTTTAAAACATCGTTATGCTATAATCGGTAAGCGAAACGCTTACCGATCATTGCAAAGCGATGTTTACCCATTGAAAACATCAGAAAAACCTCATCGCTATGCGGATTCGTCGTTAAACGGTGCGCTCGTTAAGTGAGGCACCACTGTAGACAGTTTTGTAATTTGAATATATAATGTGTATATTCTGGTAAATAAAAATGACAGCAGTGTGTCTGTATACAGAGAGAATGTAATGCACATCCTTGCCTTTGGTAATATAAGTAAAGCCAATTCCTTTTCTCTCTTTTCCCCATTTGTAACATGTCTTTAAGAATCAAAGCCATTCTAGCTTCAAGCTAGGAAAAATATGTATTATCATTTTATATACAGTAATACACTCTGTTTTCCCGAGAATCACACCTCATTTCTTTGGAGAGGAGAATGAGTTCTCAATCTTGTCAGTTCTATATAACGGTATTAAATGGCAATGAATATGGCTATCCTCAGATGGATGTATCTTAGGCTACAATGTGGGACATAAAGAAGAAATACCTACACCCAGCATTTGAGAGGTGATGGATTATACCAGAGTAATATCCTGGCTATCTTCTGTAAACTATGGCACTTGTGTGGTAGGGCTCATCTATGTTTTCTTTATGTAATCACAATTTATGTGGGCTTCCTTAATTGAAATATTTTGTATTGCTACAATTTTGTTAGCTTTTCCCAGGATCCTGTTGGACACTGACAAAGTATAAAGCCCCACTTGCACATACAGTGGTGCCCCGCATGATGACGATAATCCGTCCCATTGAAATAGCTGTTTAGTGAAATCGTCGTCATGTGAAAACCCTTTCCCCATTGGAATGCATTGAAACCTGGTTTAATGCGTTCCAATGGGGAAAATACCTTGTCATCCAGCGAAGATAGCCCATAGGGAATCCATTTCCGAGCACCGATCAGCTGTAAAAATGGCTACCCTGCGAAGCATGGATCCAGAAAACACAGGGCAGCCATTTTGCGAAGCCGAAAAAATCGTCATCTTGCAAACAAACGGTTCACGAAGCATGGACCTAATCGACGTCCAGCGAAAATCCCCCATAGGAATTACTGTTTTGCGAATCGCTATAGCGATCGCAAAAAATCATCATTATGCAGATTCATTGTTTAGTGGGGTCATCGTCTTGCGAGGTACCACTGTACATTGCCAGTCCACCAGCAGAAATGTTGTTGGAAATAGCTGACTTACTACTTGCCCAAAGAAGTGCCATATACCTTCTTGTAGAAGCAGTGAAAAAGTAAAACTGTTCATGCTTGAGTGAGTGATTGAGTGTGTTATTTAACTGGACAAGATTTTGGCCTATGTGTTTTGAAAAGACACTAATTAATGTATCCACTTTTCAGGAGGAATCCAGTGGAGCAGATGAACGGAATGTGGATAGATTTATAGGCCCTCTTCCACGAGAAGGTTCAGTTGGTTGTTCTAATGATTATGTCAGTCAGAGCTACTCTTACTCATCAATTCTAAGTAAATCAGAAACGGGTATGATGATCTGTCTCTTTCTACATAGTATAATCGTATTTCAGCCATGTGTAGAAGCAATTAAGTATTGGCAAGGTAGAATGGAACCAGAGCAGAGCACTCTTTTTGTGAAATTTGGGTCAGCATGTTTGGAGAAGTTCTACTGATTTCAGTGAATGTGAGAGAATAGGAAGTGTATGTCATATGTTTAATTTAAAAATAAAATCTAGTATTACTTGATACCTAAACTGTATCTTAAAATTTAGTATTACTTGATACCTAAACTGTATCTTTGATAATTCTGCTCCACATGCATACAGCCTTGTGAGTGAGTTGTGTCCAGGCTTAGAAGTTACCAGATCTTCTTTGTGGTCTCCGATTCACACACATGGGTACATTTGTACCATTGCAAACACTCTTGGGAACATTAATAGTGACCTGTTCACATGCACAATATCTCTCTTTCTACAGAGCAAGTGTTGCATGTCCTGTCCTGACCACACAGAATTAAAGTAAAGGATACATGAGACCAGATAATGTCACTGTCACATAAATCCTGAATTTCTACATGTATCTAGAAATTAAATGCTCACCATCGTAGCACAAGTAGATTATAAAAATCCCAGATCAAGTTTTCCTCTTTTTTTCTAGTTCTGTTTTGAAAGTTTCTTCATGGCCTCTGTGAATGCACACAATAGGGTTTAGTCTGCGCTTGCGTCGGACTCCTTGGTGTGCAATTAAGATACAGTGGTGGTTACAGTTCACTTGGTGTGGATAGCTCTTTATTTTGTGCACTACTCCAGCAACATAAAGAATCCATTGGTTGATGAGAACAAGCTGTGTTCCATATCTAACTAATTGACTAGTAGACTTCCCTTCAGAGAAGAACTCCAGCCTGTATGAGGTGCTGTTTTATGCAGCACCTGTCCTGCTCCAACTTTTTCTGCTGTTGCTGTTCTGTGTTTAAACCCATAGAAATTATTGGTCTTAAGCATGTCTAATTCTGCATGTGATCAGATCCAGTAAATAGTCATCCGGTTCCTGTGCATTCTTGCTTGCCAGGATGGGGAAACATCTCAACATTTATCATGCTGCAAAGTGATTTTGTTGAATACTACAACTGATATCCAAAGGTGAAAAATTCTTAAACTTGGTGTGCTATGTGAATGTAAGGTCCTGTATGTTATTCGTTTTTCCATCTCAGAAATTTGGAGGATGTGCTTATATTCTGAAATCCAGTGAACTTCTATTTGACCTAGGTGGAGATCAAAATATTGTTATGTTGATACAGCAAATTTAAAATAATTTCAGTAGAGACAGCAGTCAGCTTTCCAAACTACACTGAAGTTATTATAACAGTTGTTGCTAATTCCTGTTGCGCCAAAAATGTGTTTATATTAGAAGCTAGCATAATTACTAATCTTATTGCAAACCTGTTGTTTGTTTAGGATATGTGGGTCTAGTAAATCAAGCAATGACCTGCTATTTGAACAGCCTGCTACAAACCCTTTTCATGACTCCTGAATTTAGAAATGCATTATATAAGTAAGTACATGAGATCATATGCATGTAATGTTATTGTAGGTATTTTTGGACTCTACTTTTCAAAGATGTTCAAAGACTGTTGCATTTTCTGAGACGCATGTATTTCTGTGATGGTTGTCAGTGAGTATGAAAAAGCTTTATACCAGTTGTTCTCCATTATTGTAAAAAATAATGTAAACTATTGTAAAAATATAAAGAAAATAGTTATTAATAATGCACAAGTTGTGCTATGCATTTGCTAGACTTTTTCATTTTTCTGAAGTATGTATTCTGTTTTAAAATGATTTTAAGAGGTCCTGCAGATTTGTTTCTGATAACTTGGAAATCCTCCTCTAAATAAAGCAACAGTGGGCTCTTGTTAATTTTTCAAGAACCAACTGCAAGTGTTCTTAGAGGATACCAATAGTCTGGATCCATTGCAATCGGGGTTCAGGCTGCATCATGGGACTGAGGCACTTCTGGTCACCCTGCTAGATGACCTATTATGGGAGGCTGACCAGGGGAGTGTGGCCCTGTTGGTCCTCCTAGACCTCTCAGCCACCTTTGATACTGTCGACCACAGTATCCTGCTGGATTGGTTATGGAGATTACGGATCGGAGATCTAGCATTATGCTGACTCCATTCCTTCCTTGATGGCCGATGCCAGAGAATTCAGCTTGGGGAGGCTGTTTTGTTCCCATGGACACTACAATGTGGTGTTCAACAGGGGTCAGTCATCTTCCCGTCTACATGAGGCCGTTGGGAGAGGTCATTTGGAAATTCAAAGTTCACTGTCATCAGTATGCGGATGATACACAACTTTATCTTTCCTTTTCAGCAGGGGAAACTGTACAGACTCTAGAACTTTTCCTGTCCATGGTTATGGACTAGACGAGGGCATATAGGCTGAAATTGAATCCTGACAAGGCGGAGATCCTGTTGTTGGGAGGGCATCCTGATCAGTTAGGGGGCCTGTTACCAGATCTTGATGGGCCACACTCCCCCTGAAGGATCAGGTGTGAAATCTGGGTGTGCTCTGGACACGGCCGTCGTGATGGAGAAACAGATCCTGGCTGTTGCCAAATCTGCCTTTTCCCATCTGAGGCAGGTTGCACACCTCTGTCCCCTTCTTGACAGGAGATTCCTAATAACACAGGTCCATGCATTAGTAATCTTGAGGATTTACTATTGCAATGCTTTCTATGTGGGGCTGCCCTTGAAGATTGTTCAGAAGGTACAGTAAGTGCAAAATGCAGCGGCTAGGCTGGTCACGGATACATCTAAATTTGACCATATTTAACCTGTCGTGGCTCACTTGCACTGGCTGCCAGTATGCATCCAGGCCAAATTCAAAGTATTGGTGCTAACTTATAAAGCCCTTTACAGTTTAGGAGCTTGTTATCTGTCAGAGCACCTCTCCATGAGGTCATCTTCCCATCCCACCTGAACCTCCCAGTCTTTAATGTTGCATGTGGCCACTCCAGAAGAGGCCTGTAAGACATCAGCCAGAAACCGGGCCTTTTCAGTAGTGGCTGCTCCACTCTGGAACTCTCTTCTTGTGGATATATGACTGGCCCCCACCCCCCTGAGCTTCCTCAAGCAAATTAAAACCTGGCTTTTTACCCAGGTGTTCCCAAGGACCACCCTTATGTAAAATTATGCTGGCCTGTTGTCTGTCATCTTATGCCCCAGATGGATGATTTTATGGGGGGAGGGGTTAGGGGTTGTTTTATTTTTATATGTTTTATATGTATTTAATAAACTTTTGTAAGTTGCCCAGAGTAGTGGCATGTTCACTAAACGGGAAGGGTATAAATGTTAATTAATTAATTAATTTTCATGTGGTCACTTTTACATTCAATTACTGTATTTTTCGCACCATAAGACACACTTTCCTCCCAAAAAAAGGCGGGGGGAAAGTGTATGCGTCTTATGGAGCGAAATCGCCACCTTCAGGGACTCTTCTGAAGCTTCCCAAGCCTCAAGAGTCCCAGAAGGTGGCGATTTTGCCCCCTCTGGCCCCGCGGGGGGACAGGGTGTGCCTCCAAAGGGGCCTGGAACACACCCTAGGACCCTTTGGAGACTCACCCCGCCCTCCCCCCACGGGGCCAGAGGGGGCAAAATCGCCACCTTCTGGGACTCTTGAGGCTTGGGAAGCTTCAGAAGAGTCCCTGAAGGTGTCGATTTCCCCCCCTCTGGCCCCGGGGGGGGGCTGGGTGAGCCTCGAAAGAGTCCTAGGGTGTGTTCCATAAGACAGTCCTCTCCATAAGACTCACCACATTTTTAGGAAAAGAAAACAGGAAAAAAATAATCTGGGAATTTCGGCCTGCTGGGCCAGTGGGGGTGAGTGTGGGGGAAGCCTCCAAAGGGCCCGAGAATGCCTTCCAGGACCCCTAATTGCATGCTGTAAAGTTGAGCAAGAGTTAGTGCAACACCAAGCATACTTGTAGCAGAACTTCCTTGAACATGTTTTAAAAACCACTGTATAAGAACTATCAGTGTTGCTGGATAACTACAGTTTATATGGTGTCATTCTTTGTTTATGCCTGGTATCCACAAGTGCTGAATGAAGGTCTTTGAACTGAGTAGGAGGAATGGCTCGCAGCTAATATCTTTGAGAACTGTAGTGTCTGTAATGGACTAGAATTTTTCTCCTTGAAAAAAAACTCTTAAAGTATACTATGGAAACAACTATAATCTATATAACAGATATAATCAGCAAAGTAATCAAATAACTACCTGTGCCTTCTGGCTGTAAATATTGTTCTTTACATTGAAAAGTATAGATGGAAAAAAGTTAATGAAGGAACAATGTATGAGCATTTATTCACTGTGGGTTTTTTGTTGTTCTTTTTAATTGTTCACTGAATTTCTAAACAGCATATGGTCCAATTATAATAATGTTCCCAAGAATTTATCCAAGTTCATTCTGACTTGGTCAGTCTGGAACTGACTGCACTACTTTTGAACATTATGAATCTCTGCATTCTGATACAGTATTTGGTTTGAAAAGTATTTATGTACTTTTTAAAAAAGCCACCATAATTTTTTTCTGGTAGATAGAAACTTACCTGTAGATAAATATTTACTCTTCAAGTGTAACTGGATTTTCCCCTTATACAGTGGTGCCTCGCTTTACGATTGCCCCGCATTATGACGAATACGCTTTATGACGATCTTTCTGCGATCATAATTGCGATTGCAAAACAATGGTCTAAATGGGGGAATTTCTCTTTGCAGTGATCGGTTCCCTGCTTCAGGAACTGATTCTTCGCAAAATGACGTTTTTCTAACGGCTGATCGGCCGTTTGAAAATGGTCACCGGGTAATTAAAATGGCTCCCTGCTGTGTTTAGGGACGGATTCCTCGCTACACAGGCAGCAAAAATGGCTGCCATATGGAGGATCTTCGCTGGACTGTGAGTTTTTATCCCATTGGAACGCATTGAACGGGTTTCAATGCATTTCAATGGGGTTTTTTATTTTGCTTTATGATGTTTTTGCTTAATGGCGATTTTCCTGGAATGGATTATCGTCGTTAAGCGAGGCACCACTGTAATTGTATTAAGATTACAATCAAACATGAATAAGATCATTGATTTTCTGAATTTGTATTTTTACCTACTACATTGGTGCCTCGCTTAACAACGTTAATTCGTTCCAGCGAAATCACTGTAGAGCGAAAACGTCGTAAAGCAAAAATAAAAAACCCATTGAAACGCATTAAAACCCAATTAATGCGTTCCAGTGGGTTAAAAACTCACCGTCCAGCGAAGATCCTCCATATGGTGGCCATTTTTTGTTCATGTATAGCGAGGAATCCATCCCTAAGCACAGTGGGGAGCCATTTTGAGCACCTGGCAGCCATTTTGAAAACCCAACGATCAGCTGTTTTGATCATCGTAATGCAAAGAATTGGTTCCTGAAGCAGGGAACCGATCTTCGCAAAGCCAAAAAAAAAAAACACACAACCATTTAAAACATCGTTTTGCGATCGCAATTGGGATCGCAAAAACATCGCTGTGAAGCGGATTCATCGTAATGCAGGGTAATCATTAAGCGGGACACGACTGTATTTCCATGTCATGCAGTCTTCTTAAAACCATCTGTGTCTACAATGTTTTGAGAGTATTTCCTTGTAACTTAGTAATTGTGTACACATGATGTTACTAAGATGCCTTGTTTTGTTAATAGATGGGAATTTGAGGAATCTGAAGAAGATCCAGTGACAAGCATCCCTTATCAGCTTCAAAGGCTGTTTGTTTTATTACAGACCAGCAAAAAGAGAGCAATTGAAACAACAGATGTTACACGAAGCTTCGGATGGGATAGTAGTGAGGGTAATTATAACAAAATATTTTCATCAGTCATTAGAGTAGATACTATATAGATACTAACTGCTAATCAAATTCTCTCTTAGTAGGACAAAATATATATGAGCTCTATTTATGTACTACTTTCTCCTTTTGTATGAGCAGGGAAGCAAAGAAACCACAATTAACCATGTTAACACCTCAGCTAGGGATGTACGTATAATAGCTTTCAAATAAGCTAGGATATGAAGCTATGAATTTAATATGACTTTTGAATCCTGGCTTGGTTGTGAGCTATTAATCTGCGTTCCTGTTTCACTGATAATGGTACATTGTGCAGCTTCCCTGTGTCTTTGCTTACTTGCTTGAAGGGAGGAGTGAGGTGGCAGCAGAAGGATTGTGTACACCCATGAAGGTTTATTAAATTAAAATATCATTTAAATGCAAATATTGTACCTGGGATATGTTAATCTTCTACCTAAAGAATCCCAATGAGCCCATTGATTTTAAGGAATAAAAGTCACTGCTGGGTTGTCTGTTCCTCTATTTACCTGGCCATAGTGGCTACTCAGATGTTTCCAGGAACATGTGGAAGAATATATAGATTGCCAGGCCAGATCCTTGGATGTTTGTTATCAGCCTATAAGTCTATATCAGTGGTTCTTAACCTGGGCGATAATGCCCCCCAGGGGGCGATTTCATTTTTCAGGGGGGCGGTAGAACGAAAAGGGGCGGCGTGGGGGCGCTGGAGCAGAAGGGGGCGGTAGGGGGCGCTGGAGCAAGCCAAACCTGTGAAGATGGCTGCAGCCTTTTTACAATGTGCATGAATATATATTTTCCTCCTATCTTAATTTAGTTTCAGAGTTTTCGTCTTGAAATTTTTAGTTCCTGCATTTTATGCCCTTTTTATATTTCTTTTTGAGTCTTAAAATTCGCTTGCAACTAAATCATTAAATGTTACTTTTTGGGGGCATTTCATTTCTTTGGAATTGAATTTTGTTTTCAGGGGTCATTGGATTTAAATGTCTTAAATAAACAAACAAACAAACAAATAAATAAATAAGATATAATAAGAAATAAGAGGGGGGCGATGATAACATTCTCAATGGCTCAAGGGGGCGTTTCTTTCAAAAAGGTTAAGAACCACTGGTCTATATAACGTATATTCTCAGTAAGGCAAACTCCTGTTGGTGTAGTTCACTGGGGTAAACTGGATCTGGGCAATGAAAATAATTAAACAAATTGAAAGCTTCCATCCTTCCTCCTTCAGATTCTGAGACTCTTTAGGACTTCCTTTTTCTGGAGAAGCCTTTGGGAATCTTGGGATGGGACAGGGAGAACCTTTAGTCATAATAGGTTCCAGATTGCTGTCAGCAATCCTGGTCCCTGCAGCTGCAATCCACTGGCAGTTTTGGACTATTGAAGACTTCATCCCTGCTGTCCAGAGGCTCCTGAGGATTTCCCAGGGCAAAAAGGAGCCCTTGAATGCCCCAGAACCTGAAAGCAGGAGATAGGAAGCTTTCAAGTCACTTAAACTAATTGCTTCTAGTGGCTTGGATCCAGTTTATGCCAGCATAACTGTGCCTGCAAGATTTTGCTTGAGTCTAGTCTTCAGCTGTTGACTGAATTCTGTACAATTTTCAGCAACTCTTCCTTAAAAAATATTTTCTGAAGTAAGAACAAAATTAAATAATTCAGCTTAAAATAACATGTTAGAAAGTTGTTATATTAACACCTCTTCTATTTTTTTAACAGCATGGCAGCAGCATGATGTGCAGGAACTCTGCAGAGTCATGTTTGATGCATTGGAACAAAAATGGAAGCAAACAGAACAGGTATAATGCTTTGATCTTATTTTTGTAGTAAGGGGTAGATAGGATACCCTGCTTTTAACTAGGGATGAGAATTGTTACTGCCATCTTTTTTTAAAAAAATGTATTGTCTCTACTTCTTCCCCCTCTCCCCGTAACACATTGTTACATCTGATGCTTCTAAGTTCTTTTGTTGTGCGGAAGCAAGGGATAAACTGTTAAGAGAAAAAACTATTGCATTACCAGGCTTGGCCACTGAATGGCAATGCAGTCATTGTAGCTCTGCTCAGTTTACAGCAAGAAGTGCCTATATTAATCCCCGTCACACTGCCTTTTGCTGTGATCCAAACCAACAGTCTCCCTAGTCTTCACCGGAGGACCTTTTGTTTCCTGCAGAGCTGATTCCCAGGCTTCTCCTCCTAGTTCAGGGAAGTAAAGATCCTGCAAAGGATTAATTTAAAAAACACAAGTTATCCATTATTTTACTGAGCAACTTATGGATCAAGATAGGGACAGATGCCACAAATGGAGCATACCTCTTCTCTTTAAAGCTGGAAGGAAAAACAGAAAGGTCTATAGCCAAAATCTCTTATGTATCCAGCAAAGGTTTCTCCCATTCACTTATCTGAGAAATCTAATATATACGTTGTTCAGATGACCATCTGGCAGACCAAAAAAGTTGCAAAAATCTGTGAGTTTCAAGGGATGAAAATGAATCCCTAGAATCCATACAAGCAACATTTGCTCTATGAATCTCTCCTGTACACTCCTGTCTTTTCCTGTGAACACCTCAGCTGATTCTTTCTATATGTGTGGTTGACCCTAGGATGACACTAGGATGTGTTCCAGGGCACTAAGCCAGGTATTTAAAGTTGGAGAACATGAGCCCTTCTCTTCTTCAGCAATAAGAGGATGGAGTTTGCTCTTTCATGCCTCTTTCTCAGCACATCAGAAGGCCAATATTTTTTTCCTGAATGAAAAAATCAATTCAGATTTATTTATTAAAGCATACATTTAGTTAAAATAAGTTTATAAATGTGTACAGTGGGGTCTTGACTTAAGAACGGCTTGAGTTAAGAACATTTTGACTTAAGAACCGCTCTCACAGGAAAATATTGACTTGACTTACATACTTAGATTTGAGTTAAGAACTAAAAAAAACCACGTGGGAGGCAGGGAAAGTGCAAAATTTGAACTTTCAGTTAACTGTTGGCCAGTGAAAAGGGTGCCTGTCTGCTTCCTCACTCCTCCCAGCGTTTAGAGAGTGGATTGGGAGACAGTCTTCAGACTGCCTGGTACTGGCCTGCCTGGACTGTATTTTCCTTGCCTTCCCTGAAGCTTTCTTGACCTAAGAAAAAAAGAAACAAAATATCCCCCTCTAGTGGTCGAAGGCGGAATAGCAGCTTCCCATTAGTTTCTATGGACGGAAAAGAGCAGATACGGATCAAATGGTTTTCAATGCATTCCTATGGGAAATGCAGATTTGACCTGAGAACTTTTTGACTTGAGAGCCGCCTTCCAATACGGATTAAGTTCTCAAGTCAAGACCCCACTGTACATTATGGGAAATAACATTTAAAAAGGGGCTAACACCTGCATATTAAGTATAAATAAATAAATATGTATTAATATTGAAACCTTCATGCAAATATTTAGAATTACATATTATGTCAAAAGGGAACAGATTTAGGGATGAATGCAAGCAAAATTGAGACGGATTGAAAGTAGACTGTCAGCTCCTAGCTGGAATGTTAACAGTAATGATCTGTATAAAATGTGCTTATGATAAATTGGATGGAAAAACATTTTACCTGCCCTTAGCCTTATAAATAGTTTTAGTTCCAATTTAAAATGCACTATTTGAAAAAAAGATGAAATAATGGATTATTTATTTGTTTGTTCTAATTTATAAACCACCTTTCTCCCCATAAGAGGACTTAGGGCTGATCACAAGGGTAAGGGAAGTAAAATTAAAACACAACAAACAACACACTAAAAACAAATTAAACTATCATATTCTTAAGAGCCGAGAAGGTTCATATGGGGAGATTCAGTCTTTTAGGTACCCTAGATAAGCATTGCGTTACAACACAAGGCAATTATCTCACGATAGAAAGAAATTAAAATATATTTTATTCATTCAATAAAAAATTTATTGTTAATGAATCAAAGGAAAGTGATTGGCAGATTTAATATATGCTGAGCTACTCTTATCTCTGCATGTTACTTAGACATTTAAAAGTCAGTAAATTGGCTGTGTTTAAATGGCACTGGATAGAATATTGCATAATGCAAAGTAACAGATTTACAATCTTTCACTAAAACATGAAAATTCTTTCTTAATTACAGGCTGATCTGATAAATCAGCTCTACCAAGGCAAGCTGAAGGATTATGTAAGATGTCTGGAATGTGGCTATGAAAGTTGGAGAATTGATACATACCTGGATATTCCTTTGGTCATTCGGCCTTATGGCTCCAATCAGGCTTTTGCAAGTGTGGTGTGTACTGTTAAACTGACTGCTAGTACATCTATACATGTATTGCGTACATAATGCCCCTGTGGTGTCGCTTTCTTGAAAGGCAAGTATCATCCTAGATACTCCATCTTGGGTTGTCCGTCTTTGTGCAGTAAATCAGATAGCAAGTTCTGTAAGGTTTTTGGCCCTTCAATGAGTCCTACTGGTGCATGTTTAAGAGGAAGGAAGATCAGCCAAGTAGCTTTAGGTTACAGTATAACTGTACATTCCTTTTCTTTGTACAGTACTTAGGAATTTAGTTTTATTGAGCTGTTGTGTGGATGTTTTTATGAATATCTGAAGTCTTAATATCACTGAAGAATTGTAAAACTTTTTCTTCTATTACAAGTAGAACTGGGTAGTTCTGAAATGAGGAATAAGATGGTGTAGAACTTGCTTTTTGGACTAATTATCCTGAAACTAGTGATAGCTGTTGTAGAATTTTGAAACAGAATTTGGAATTGTGTTTTGTGCTTTTTAGGAGTGGATGTGGGGACCCAAGCAGAGAAACTAATTATATCAAAAAGTGTTTCTTTTGTAAAATCTGTTTTTCACTGCAGTAGGTGACTTATCCACCTAGCTAACTAGATACAATTCATTAAGTTGTTTGGCAGTGGTCTTTTGAACGTGATTCTAAATTTAATACTGGCTGCAGCTTTTTTTCACTCTTTTGAACATGCTGTAAAGATTTTAAATATTCTTTTCTGACATACATTGATATTCTTAGAGTTGCCAACCTTTTCTTTGTTCCCCTTGTCATTGCTGCTTTTTCAGCGTATGAATTTTGATTTTTTGCTTTTGGCAAACAAGAGAAGAGTCTGTGTTACACTCCTTTTTTGTTTAATGAGGATGGTAAAAGCGTTTAAAAACAAAACCAGAATCTCCTTTGTCCTTTGAGTGTTTACCTATATATATCAAGAGTGCATTGTTTGTCATTTATTCAAGTTAAACAGAAGCAAGTCTAAATATATGGTTTTGCTTGTGAATATAAGTGTTTTGTAAGAATTGGACTAAGATGCATGTAATCCAGCATTCTTTCCTAAAATTCCAATATAAAGCAGAGGCTACTTATCAACTGGTGAATGGGTAGTGGCCCATGATCTACTTCCCTGGTTTATAGTATCTGAAAAGTTTATACTTTTAACCTTTTTATGCGGTTTAAGAAATTTTAGTTAGTGAAAATATGTAGAGGACATTATCTATTAAAGAGGACTGTTTTGACTACCTCCAAATTTTGCTTAGCATTCAGCACACCGTTAAAGTTAAATTTTAATGGAGCAGCCTGTAGGGGAAGTGAAGACTAAATATTTCTTTTTTTTTTTCCTATTACATTTTAAAAAATAATGTAATATTAGTGTCTGATTTTTTTAAACCTTTCCTCTGAAAGGGAAGAAATAAGCAGTCAATTAAGTATCTGAATATGTGCATTTTTTCATAAATCATAACCACTAGAAACCTGCAGAGATATAAAGACTTCTTACCTGTTCTGCCTAGTTCAACATGATCTGTTTCTTTTATGAATAACTTAGCAGAATCTGGTTTAACATGTGCTCACTTATTTTTAACACCATTATGTTAGAAAACATGTTGATGCTCTAGTCTTCTGAGCTATGCTGTACTTCTTACATTGGATTGTCGAGTTGGTTCTCTGGTGATGTAAAATATTCTAGATGTTTGACAGTTGGGAACTATGGAGGATACTTGCTTTTGGAGAAGGGAAAAATTGCATATTTCTCAATGGAATTCTCTGAAGGTAGTATCCTCCATTGATCCTCATTGATTAGAATAATTAAGGATTTGGCTTAGCGGTCATAATAAAAAACACATGCGCTAATAGGGCTTGTAGAAGGGAATATAAAAGTCTTTGGATCTTGCTGTACAGTTCCCAGAGGCGGCACTACCCAAAATAGGGGATCTAAGGAGGATACTACCTTCAAAGAACTCTAATTAGAGGTAAGTGATTTCCTATTTCTTTAAAATATGACAGAATGGATATTATCAACAGTGTCCTCAGAAATGGTAATAAAATAAATTTAAAAATCTATCCATATAAAATGCATTATTTAGCCTATTAGTGTATCTAGACACACAGACACGCACTCAAAATTTGTAAAAGAAAAAGATCTCACCCAGCCAAACTAGCCTTGTGCTAGTTTACATCTGTGGAGGAAACTCCATTGTTAATTTTCTTCTGCTCTCTTTTTTTCCTGGCATGTGTAGCTTAGCGTGAAGTCATCATGTTACGATGAGTTGTCTCATGTTTGTGTGTGTTTTATTCCCCATATTTATACTGTGTGTGCTTTAGCACAACACTAAAACATTACTTTCTTATCCAGTCAGTAGGCAACAAAGGGAGCTAACGGGTTTAGCTGCTGATAGCTGGAGGAGCTGATTGCTGTGAATGCTGATTGCTGGGGCTGATATTTTACAACAATTCAACTCACATCAATACATGGCATTATTGTATTACAGAATATATGCTTTTACAATACAGCATTATTCTCATCTATCAAATGTTTATTATAATTGTATTTCTGTTTAGAAGTTGAAAAGCAAAATAGTCAGTTGGCAGCAAATGTTATTAATTCAGCGACCTTGCTTTGGTGGAGATGGCTCATTATTTTGAAAAAACATAATCAACTATTTTTTTCATGCTGCAGATTTAAAAGTACTATAATTTTAGGACAGTTTTAGCAATTTTCTATAGCTTCCCCTCCAATAATTTTTTCAAATACTCTTAGACACGGTATCAAACCTTGAAAAAGGATTGTAAGTTCAGCCCTCTCTAGTACCAGCCTCCTAGTTGCCTACCTATCCTGTTTTGAGTCGAGTAATATTGTATAGCTAATTATCTTCACATAATATTGTACAAATATGTCTGAAAAAGAAGTTTTTATAGCACCTTTGTCTTTGTAATAGTAGGAATTCATTCCCCATTGAACTGTTTGCCACAGTTGAAGCTCTGACACATATTATTATGTGTGCATAAATTACCTTACTCTTCTCAGAAAACAGTGCAATCTCAATTTGTACACCTAAGATTTTATATTTTAAAGCAAATTATTTTTAAAGTGTTTTTGAAAGAGTTTTAAACACTTGCAGTTTAGTGTCAGTCTTAAGCAACCATTAGAAACTTAATACATGTAATTATCAGTAGTAATGACCAGTCTGTGGAAAATTCGCACTTCAAATGCAGTTTGGTGGGGTTTGCCGTAAGTCAAGATGCTATGAAGCTTCAGTCATACATTAGTTGAGCTTATAAAGTGATATATCCCCATTTGGGCTGCTGACAGCCTAGTTAGGTGTGATGTATTTTTACATGACTACATTACATAAAACTAATTGCAAACCTTTTCAGTATTAATTAGGATCTTTTTGGTTCATCACCAGTGGCTACTGTTCTTCTGGTGCCACTCAGAGTGCTTCATTTTGCTTTGGTTTCTGGCAAGCGACCTTTTTGAGCTTATTTGATCCAAGTCAAGATGGGATAATTTCCCTTGTCTAGACATATCTAGTGATTGATTAGGACTCTGAAGAGCAGCATTTGAGTCCCCATTTGCCCATGGAAACTAAGTGGGGGAGTGGAACTGGTAAAACCACTCCTTAGATATCTCACTTACTTTGCAAGCTCTGTTAGGGTTGCTATAAGATGGTTCCAACTTGACGGCGGAGAACAACAACAGACACACCCTTAGTCTGGATACCCTTTATTTTCAATGGGACAAAGAACACATACATTAGATTGCAGTGTAGGATTACACTAGTAGTTTGGAACCTTTCTCTTGTACTTAACATGGTATGAAATATATCTTTTTAGTCATGACAAATATTATGAACTGATATGTTTATGAATGAATACAAAGCTAACTCAGAAGGGAAAGTACTGTATTAAAGTAAATGGAAGTCAAATTCTTGGCACTTTTAAAAAACCTATCAAAATGTCACTAAAATAATTATTTTAAGCATAACTTCCTCTTTGGTAAGCAGCAATTTTGTTAAATAATACTATTAATGATTTTTCATCTGCTTTTGAAGACCCATAGGAACATCACTTTAAAAAAATCTCCATAAAATAATATAGAATAGTATGGGTTTTTGTTGCCTTGCACATCACACAAAGTCTACATAAATTGTATGTAACCACTTCTGTTGGTCATACACATGCCATTTATTTATTAAGAAAGATGCAACATTTTCTGTTGTACAGTGTATATTCATGTCTGTTTAATTCCTTTGACATTGTGATCAGGAGTTGATGCAAAATATTGTACCACAGAAGTGTTCTAGTACAGACTTCTTGAGAGGTGCTACCTTCTTGTCTAAAACATAGTGACTGAAATCCTGTTACTTAGTTGTAGTAAGTAACGCTAGAGTAAGCCCATTGTATGAATGAGAATATTGTGAGTCAGCCTATCCATGCATTCCATTTGATAGAAATGGGCCTAATCTAGTTGCAACCTATTTTGTTAAGCAACAAGATTTCAGCATGTGAAATGGTATACATGAAAGCTTCAGAATTGTCTTATACGTAATACAATTGAACTGCAAAATCTGTCATCCACTTCATACTTTTCAGTAACTGCCGTTTTGATTTTTTTTTTAAAGTGGCCTTTGATTGGGAAAAAAACACTTGATTTGGATTCTATATTATTTAGGGAAAGTATTCAACTTAAAAAAAATTCAAAGGAAAGTGGTATAGAAGAAAGCAATAGTGTGATACTACATTTCACTCTGTAGTCTGATTTTTCTCCTTTTGCTCAATTATTATTGTCTGAAAGACTTCTTTTGTAAGGAGTTTCTTCTCTTTCAACATAGAATTTTTGTTCACTTGGAAAAGTTGGGGCTGTAAAACTTTTGTTCTGTTTGTTCTTAGTGCTTCTCTGGGCTCCCAGAAATGGAGGGAAAAAAGGATGAATTGGAAGCTTTTTGGAGACCTTCCCATATCCTTGATCACCTCCTAAAGTGGGATGGATCAAACAACA